AAGACAAGAATGTCCTCTCTCGCCACTGTTATTCATATATACATTAGAAATTCTTGCTAGAGTAGTAAGACAGGAAGAGCAGATTAAAGGACTTAAGATCAAGAAAGAAACATACAAACTTCAAGCTTATGCAGATGACTTAGCATTTATATTAGAAGACCCAGAACAATCAGGCCAGAGATTATTCGAAATATTGGAAGAGTATGGGGATCTGGCAGGTTTGAAAATAAATAGAAACAAAACAAAGATTATCACAAAAAACATGACTAACATACAAAAAAGAAATCTTGAGGCAAAATTAGGTATACAAGTAGTTTCCAAATTAAAATATTTAGGGATAGTTATTTCAGAAGACAATTATGGCAAATTGGTCAAGAATATAAAAGTAGATTTAGACCGCTGGAAAAATTTACATCTCTCATTACTCAGGAGAATTGCCTCAGTGAATATGAACATCTTACCTAAAATGATATTCCTGTTTCAGAATATTCCAATTCAATTAGACAAGAAATTTTTCAAGGAGCTGAATAAATTAACCTTAGAATTTGTGTAGTCCGGTAAGAAGGCAAGAATAAAATTAAAGGCACTACAGGATGCCAAAGAGAGGGGAGGTTTAGGTTTCCCAGATTGGGAGCTCTATTACCAAGCCGCGGCCCTAACATGGATTAGAGATTGGATAACCTTAGAAAATAAAAGATGTTTACATTTAGAGAGTTATGACCTCCAGCAAGGCTGGCATGCTCACATATGGATGAGGCAAAGCAGAAACCACCAATATTTTTTAAGACATAAGGTTCGGCAAGAATTAATAAAAAGCTGGAATATAGTTAAACATCAATATTACACAAAGATCCCAGCTTGGCTATCGCCATTGGAGGCAGTCACATACCCCCATTGGAGGCAGTCACATACCCCATTGGAGGCAGTCACATACCCCCATTGGAGGCAGTCACATACCCCAAGATGTCTATTATATATAATAGACAAAGCTATTATATATAAAGACATCTTGACAGAAGAAGGTTATTTAAAACAAAAACAAGAGCTAAAACAACAAGGAATAGACATGGAGTGGTGGTCTTATCTCCAGATACAAGCAAGATACATGAAGGCTAAGCAAGAATGGGGAATTAATAGGCAAGATACGGGGTTAGATAAAATATTGCTAGGCCCGGAGAAAAAACAAATAAAGAATATAACCACCTGTTGGAACATAAGCTACTGTATATGAGGAGCAGGTTAAAGAAACAATGGTGACATGGGCAATAGATATAGGATATAATATAAATATGGATTAATGGCAGCAAGTATGGGAGCGAAATAACAAAATCACAGTGGCGACATCATATAAAGAAAACCTGTATAAGATGGTTTACAGATGGCATCTCCCTCCGGCCAGATTAGCCAAAATGTATAACGGATATTCATCTATGTGTTGGAAATGTAAAAAAGAAAAGGACACCTTTTTTCATGTAGAGTGGACTTGTAGAGAAGCACAGGTGTATTGGCGTATGGTCTGGGATTGGGCAATAAAAATGACTAGGCAAAACATTCAATACAAACTGGAGACATTACTATTAGGAATACTAGAGAAAAAATATAAATAAAGAGGACACATATTTAATTATCCATGTGGTCACAGCAGCAAGGATACTATTTGCTCAAAAGTGGAAAGCAATGGAAATACTGAGTGGGGAAGCACTAATAAAGAAAATTATGTATTGCACAGAACTAGATAGGATAGTTTTTTAAAAGATTAAAAAATCAGGAAGAAACAGAATTTTATCAAATATGGAATAAATTTTATAGATGGAGGGGAAAAATGGAGGTCACAGTAAAGAGATAAACTGAGATAGAGACTAGAAATGTATAGTTGTATATAGGTATATAATATGTAATTAATGTACAATATGAACTGAGATGTCAGTCAAAGATGATTTACCATGTTCAATGTTTTTAATCTTTTTTTTTCTTTGTACTTAATAAAAAAAATTTTTAAAAAGGAATCTATTTGATCTCCCACTCACTGCAGTTTGTCTCCTAGTTTATATCTGGTTAGTTGAAGTCTCTGGTTAGTTGAAGTCTCTGTGGTGTGCTTCCTGCATACATTTGTTAACTGGTTGGCAAACAGTTCATCTATTTCTTCTAATTGGTTGGGTGGCCTGTAATATACTCCTATGGTAATGTCACTTTTTTTCTCTTTTATATTGACCCATATACATTCTGGAGAGATTTTGTCTTGTGCATTTCTGCAGATATGTAGTGTTCTCTTACATATAGTGCAACTCCCCCTCCTCTTTTTGTAGACCTGTTTCTTTTAAACAATTTGTATCTATCCATCAGTCCATTCCATTCATGGGTTTCGTCCCACCAGGTTTCTGTTATGCCAACTATGTCATACCCTCCCTCATGTACTATTGTTTCTAGTTCACCCTATTTGTTCCCCAAGCTTTGAGCATTTGTATATAAGCATTTAAGACTTTTATTCCTGTCTGTGGGTATGTTTCCTGTATCTCCTGGTTGTTGTTTAAATTTTTCTTTTTTCTCAACACTGCCTACCTCATTGTTTGATTTGTTTTCTTGGGATTTGTGATTGGTTTTGGGTTCTAGAGATTCTAGAGGTTAGTCATAGTTATATTAACTGTAAAAACCATGACATCAGCCCAGTCACTATTAAAACTTTATTTATTGATTAGCTTTTTATTCTGCATTCATTACTTTATAAATAATTCAAAGCAATGAACATATTCTCTTCCTTCCTCCTATTTTTTCCCACATCAAGAACTCTGTGAGGTAGATTGGGCTGAGAGAGAGAATGATTGGACCAAAGTCATCCAACCTGCTTTCATGCCTGAGGTGGGACTAGAACTCACAGTCTTCCGGTTTCTAGGCCAGCATCTTAATCACTACACCAAATATGCCCTCCATTAAATGCTCTGCAGAAGATTATGTCTTCAAAGCCTTCTTAAAAGACCATGGATAAGTGCTACTTGAATTTCTGAGTTATAATGTTCCTTAGGTTTGTTCCACCATGGAAGAACACTTTAGGTCTCCACTCCTCGGACAAGGATCCTGATTCTGTCCTGGTGGAAAAAGTATACCAAAGGGATCAAGAAATGGAGTTGAAGATATCCAGGAGCCAAGGTATGCAGGCTTCAAAACTTGAAATAATGAATTAAATTGTTCTACCTGGGAGCCTATTGGGAGCAAAGGCAGCATCACAGCACTGGGGTAATTCCATTTTAATATGACTGTAATATGACTCAAGTGCCGGCATGCAAGTTGCTTCATTCTGTACCAATTGCAGTTTCCAAATGGCTTTCAAAGGAATGCCATGTAAAATTCATTGCAAAATTACTTCTGATGTGATACAGGTATGAATTTATTATTACAGGGCTTAGACATAGCCCCAACATTAAGCAATACATTTCTGTAGTAAAAGTTCTGTGGCCCATCCCTACCTGCATTTTGCAAGGCTCTGCTTTTCCTGCCAATGTGCCATTGGCCCTGAATGATAGTGGATGATAGCGGATAAATATATATATATTATATTCAGGTACAACTATTACTATATTATTATAGCTGTTATTTTTGCTATGTTGATTTTGATTAATTGGGGCAGTTCATAAATACGATAAATAAATAATATGAACAATATGAATAATATTATGCACCAGCCTAAGCCAGGCAAAAGGTTCCCTGATTATAGAATCCAGCAGTAGCCATGGTTTGAGGTCAACTCTCAGAAGCCTACTCCTTCAGAAGAAATAATATTTCATCCAGAGTAATAACTGGAAAATGATAGTTCTGTCCTCATCCCAGCTTCTACAGCCACCAGGCACAAGGTCAAGACTTTCATGCTACCTGTGGCCTGACCAGTGATAGAAATATACATAATAATCATCTGAAACCAACAGGCAAACTGTCTCAGGCAATTAAAGCTTCTGCTGGAAAAAGACACATAAACACATTATCAGGAATCCTTTGGATAGGACTGTATTTTAAAAATGAAAGTGTTTAAATGACTACATGGTGTTTTCATAAGATTAATTGGAGTATGAAACTTTCAAGACATGCAGCCTACTGGTTAACTGTATGATTGACTGAGTTGGGAATCCTCCCTGGGTATTCAGAAGTATACTTGAATCTGATTTCAGTGAAAAAATACATCATCACACAAACTCTTAATTCTATTCTTCACCACATGGAGCCTCAGATAACTTGAGCCACTGATGGGCTGTAGATTATACTCCTATAGGTGGAGTTTTGTTAGGAATAAGGGGGAAATTATCAGTTTCTTCTCCCCACCAACAAAACACACACACACACACACACACACACACACACACGTAGGATTACAAAACTCTTTCATTGTTCATTGGCAATGAACATTCAGCTATTTTGTATCTGTCCTTCCTAGCAAACAAAATAAAAATTGGTATGTTTCTATTGCCACTGTCAATGACAAATCTATGTTTTTCTTTACTGTATGTTAAATGTAAGATAAACAAGGCTCATGTCATTTTCATTCCAGCATAAATCACTTGGGGTAGGCATGGGAAAATGTAGCATATGTTTACTGCTAACTATACACGTATGAAGAGTAGCTTGCATGTTCATCCTCACATTGCAGCTTTCAAAAGATCTGATCCAACATGTAATGCTGTGTTTATGTTCCAGGCATTGTATACTCAATTTTAATATCAAGAGACACATATTTGAAAACAGTTCCAACTGTCTTTTTCAAACTTTTCTTAAGTCTTTTTGCAAAACCATAATTATTTCTCTTCATTAAATAGCAATTCATCACCTTTCTTATTCAATAAACCTAAATACATTTGCTTGGAGATAAATTCCATTGATTGTAATAGAAATTATTTCTGCATATTCATTTTAAGTTGACATGCTAGTGTTTTTACTGGAAAATGAAAAAATAGCCCCCTGAGAAAGTAGTTATAGCCATACCAAGATGTTATTCTAATATCTTGTTGTTTACTTACTCTTTGCCGTATCTGATACAGATTCTTTGTTAAAATCTCTCTTATGTTATCCATTTGGCCAGAATAAGGTGTATTTATTTTTTCTCCCTCTTGAGGCTCACTGTTGTAACAGGGAGATAAAATATAGAACTAAACAGATGATCCATTCGAATAATATGAATTATACATTTTTTTCAAAGATAGAAAATCAAATAAAAGAAAGAAAACATATTTATCATGTCTTACATTTAAAAAAATCCAATTCTGGTTAGTCTTGACTTAACCATATCAATAATGTGGATCTGCAATTTATTTAACGTGCAAGTTGATAAAATGTTAAATAAATCTATAATTTTCCCAAGTAGATACGATCCATAGCTTTTTTCATTCATCAATATTTGAGAATTTAATTCAAATTCATAATTCATATCAATGTCAACTGATTATAGAATTAATTTCCTATGCCTTTTAATACATTTTACTCAATTAAATTTAAATATATTTTATATTATCAAAATCTCAATATAAATTTTGTTCTGAAAAGTTGAAGGTATTTCCTGGTAAATTGTAACCAGTAACAAGTTCATAACATATATTAAACATATATTAATTATATATTAATCCTTTTTAGCTACTTTAAATTATTGTGAGCTTCTGAATCCCCTATGGTCATCTCCTCTATATGTAATACCCCCATCCATAACCCAGCCCTCATTTTGCTGATATTTCATAAACAATTCAAAGCAGTCCTGTTCAGTGAGGTTTGGGACCCAGTTGGGAGTGCCATTATTACGCTTTTTGGTTATATTCATGAGGGTTCTTCTTGTTTGTTTGTCTCTATGTACTTCTTGGATAAGATAGTTTATACATCTATTTCTGTCTCTATCCCTAATTCTGCCTCTTCATTATAGAAAATACAATTACCCATAACTCTAATTTTACATGCATGAAAAAACACATAGACATACACAAACAAACCAATCTATAAATCAATGTTAACTCTGTTTCCCCCATTCTGATTAGAAGGAGTTTCTGGCTGGAAATTGGGGAATTGATTCCCCAAATAATTGGAAGGTAACAGATAAGGGAAGGAAGAGAAGGCTTTTTAATCTGTTTTTGGCGTTTAATTTCCCATTTAACCTTGCATTAAGTCTGTCTACTTGTGAAGCTCATGACTAGAGGTCCTTTTCTTATGTTGAAATATAAACAGGAGCAATGTCCTGATTTTATGCACTCTTTTGAGAGTACAACATTTTATTTATTAAATGTATTGGCTGCCCATCTTACTACAAGGGCAGCTTACAATATTAAAAAAAAATAAAACTATAAATATAATACTACACAAATATAAATATAAAAGTATAAAATAGCTATAGCTAGATAGCAATGGCTAAAAATGGGAAGGGAGAAAATAGGATGAGGGGAGGGGGGAGAGATGAGATCTGATATTAATCTATCAATCACCCCCAACATGAAGCCCCTCTTTTGGAGCCCCAAGCCAATTGGCAGAGCCAAGTCTTTAAGCTCTTGTGGAAGGTCAGGAGGGTTGGAACCAACCTTATTTTGGGTGCAAACTATTCCAAAGGGCAAGAGCAACAGCAAAAAAGGCTGCTGGCACAAGTGAGGTGGGCCAATCCCAATGGGATGAGACAGTCTCACAAGTAGTCTGGATCCATGCCATGAAGGATTTTAAAGCACCTTGAGCTGCACCTGAAAACAAATAGACCACCAGTGCAGCTTGCGGAGGAATGGTATTACATGGGCCACTCTTGGGGCCCCAAAAACTGGCTGTGCCATCACACTCTGCACCAGCTGTACTGCCAAATGCTCTTCAAGGGTAGCTCCATGTAGAGCAATAGTCCAAACGTGAAATGACTAAGATGAAAATTGTCCAGGCAGATGGGATCCAGCAGTGTTTTTTTTAAGGAGGAAACAAACCAGTGGTGGGATTTAGCCTATTCACACCGGTTTTGGAGAACCAGTAGCTAAATTTACCTGAATTTGGAGAACCGGCTGGCTTCTGGAAGTCCAATCTAGGCCTGGGACCCACCAGAAGTGTGTTGATGCCACTTCTAGGATGAGAGGCCCAAGCCTGCATCACATAATAGAACTGGTTGATCAGGTATTTGAATCCGACCATTGAGACAAACCAGAGTCTCCTTAAAATGCCCCAGAAATATCCCCTCCTGGGGTGATGAATTAATCACTTCCTGAACCCACCCGCTAGTCACCATATGGAGGCTTTCACCATCCAGGAGGGACAAAGATCTAACTGACAGGTGGTGGTGCTGACAGCATTGACTTCATCAGGTCCAGCAGGGTCAAATATTTCCCAGATTGATTTAGAAATCAATATATAAAAAACAAAATATTTTAAATGTTATTCCTAATATTCACTTCTGTATATGCTTTTACTTATTTGTTTTCTGTTTGCATTTTATTATTAACTAATGGAAGAGCTTGGAAAGTAAATTTTTGAAAAGGAAATAAATGCCAGAAGTAACTAAATGGATTAATGTGTTTAGTCCTAAATGTAAAAAACAAAGACACAACAGCATGCTCCTTTTTGTCCTTTTTTTGGGCTGCAAAGAAGTGAAGAATTCAACTTCAATGCTTTTAAGAAGTATATTCTGACACTGATACAGTATTGCTCCATATTTCTCTCTACTTACTTGATAGAAGCTAGAGATGGAACTGTGCTTAACATCCCATTCTCTGCCATTTCAATGGCATGTTTTATTTCCAATTTCTTGTACAGAGCAACAATTCTTGATTTTGGTTGTTTTTCCTTAATTAAAAGTCTTCTTAGGTACTTCTTATCAAATTTTATAAATCTGTAAGAAACAAGAGCCATTCTATTAATTAATTTAAATTAAAATGAATTGAAAGTGTAGCAAATTTTGTTCTTATAAAATAAATTATTCTGACTGTAGACATTTAGAGAATTAGATTCTAACTGAAATGAAGTTTTGAATTTGTGACAGAAATTAATGAAAATTAAATATTCATGTTTTCTGAAACAAAATAATTCTTAAATTTAATCAAAGTATGTATTTGTAAATTTCATAATATTCAAAATGTAAATATAATTTAAATAATACATTGGTTTTTTCCACTTGTTTCTTTTAGATCATTACTAAATATGTTACTTACTTATCTCTCCAAAAGTTGTGACCCCAATGTCCACACACATCTTCAATACCAGCCTTGATATGATCGAAGAACTAGAATGTAAAAAAAGTCATTACATTATTATTAAACAAATGTATATATTACTTGTTTCTGTAAGAAAAAGTTATCTTGATTTTATACCCAATAAAATATCAATACCAAAATAACTATGAAATGAATTTTATAAGATAAATCGTTATCCAATACAATTGTTTTTAAAATCAACAATAGATTTATGTGAGAAATACATTACTAAGAGTCAAGACAAACTTGATGGAACATTATGAATCAAAACATGTTATAAATGTTACATTATCACCACTTGAAAAGGAAAGTCTCTCCAATTGAACACACTGCTTGTTATTTAGATCTATGTATCTTTTTCTCAGTGCATGATATCTTTAATCTCAGTTTTTCACAGGGCCTCTAGGCCAAAAGAAGTACCTGAAAGTTCCATTTATTAAATAGTTAAGTCCCAATTTAAAAATGTAAAATATTACAACATGCACACTTTGGGAAGCATGGCTCTGGGCCTTTCCCAAAAGGCATGTAATACACCTCAAATTACAAACATACCCGGCAGTAGATTTCTTCACTAACTGCTGGTTGCTTCTTATTTGCTCTTTTGACATCAAGAAACTCCACCAGTGGGCGAATTGTCATTCCCTATACAGAAGAGCAGACACAAGCATGACATTCACTTCAGCCCAACATGATTTGCCATGATGTCATTTTCATATTCTATTCAATATGTATTTTAATAAATGAATGGCCAGTATATAGCATTATACTACAAATATTTGAAAAGAAAATACAGTTTGAGGAAAGATTTCACATTGTACTGATTGATTACTTTTGATGAAGAGAATTAGATAAAGTTTACAAGGGGGCTCAAATATAAGGAAACGTACCAGAAAATACTTCAATATGTCAAGACAGGACTTGATTACTTCACCAACTAGAAAAATTATTTGACATCCAAAAGGGATAGAGTTTTGTAATGTTGCACAAATCAATATGAGAATATATTGAATGGAGGATGAAAAGCAAGGCAGGTATCAGAAATAAAGCTGAAGATACAGGCCTAGTTCATAGGATAGATGGTATTATTGTCAATGAATATGACAAGAGATCTAGAAGAAGGTTTTGACACAAATCTAAGATGTTCAGTCACAGACATATGCAATTTCTGGCAACACAATCTGATATTTTCTTTTTGTGTGACACTTTTAGTATTGTAAATTGGACAAATTGCAGGTTTTCTATGAAAAGAACTATTGATTATATTGTATATATAACTATTGGAAATATTCTTACCTGAATGAACACGGTAAAGAATATCACTACGATAGCAGCAGTAATGAAAAGCTTCTTTCTAGGGAATACGGCAGAAGGAAGAAGGAAGACCAGAGAAAAACATATAGCTCCTCGGAGGCCTCCATAGGCAATAATGAACTGGTCTTTAAACGTTATAGGAATTGTCCGAAATACATTTATTACCTGAGTCAATGCAAACACTCCTAAAAAAAAAAGGCAAACAGATACAAAACAAATTGATCATGGTATCCTTTTAACCAGCTCCAAAATTTAGGAACGGAAGATACAGTATTACATCAGTTCTCTTTCTATTTCCATGGCCGTTTCCAGTTGGTGTTGGTAGGGGAGATAGATTTAATTCAATTACAGGCTGTCCAGGATCTACCCTCTCTTTGGTCTTACTTAACATCTACAGTACATGAAACTGTTGAGTAAGGTCATTAATTAGAATGGTGTAAGGTATCAAAAGGCCTTATAATATACATCTCCATCTTAGGCTGATCAAGTTATTCTGTCAAGATTCTTTCCCAGTACCTGAAGGTTGTGTACCCTGGAATGGAAGGGGAAATACAGTTTATCTTAACGCTAACAAGACTGAATAGTTGTAAATTTTGGGGATCCCTTTGGTAAGAAATAACTCTCCCAACCAGAAACGGGGTGAAATATTGAGATTCTCTTGGGCTCTGCTTTCGCTAGAATTCCAACTATTATTCAAGTTATGAGGTCAGAGATCAGATTTGAAAAATAGCTATTGATTAATATTCTCCATAGGAAGGACAAGTTGCAAAAACTTTGCACAAACCCATCTCGTGTGACATTTTGCATAATAAGGAAGATGTTTTTGACAGAGTAATGCAGGTCCATTATTAAAGCAACAAGGAGTAAAACATATCTTAAATTGACAAAGACAGATAGTGTTTGTAATGGGTCAGACAGACATTTCCTTAATTCACTAAGATATAAGAAGGAGGAAAAGAACAGCACATTCCATCAAGATTCTTTTATTATAACTGCATCCAGGCTGATACAACTGCACCCATTCCTGGGTGTGGCTCACAATCACTCATGCCCTAGTCATCTGCTGTCTAGATTGCTACAATATGTTCCATATAGAGTTGCCTTTGATAACCACTCAGAAGCTCCAATTGGTTCAGAATACAGTGGTGTGAACAGTTATAAATGCACTTCATTGTGCCTAGGTAGCACATTGCCTCACAAACTGAACTGGCTTCGTATAAACTTTTAGACGTTATTCAAGGTACTGATTATCTCCCATAAAATCCTTCATGGCAAAGATCCAAGTTACCTGTAGAACTGCCTATCCCTAACTGTCTCTACTCATCCCATGACATCTGGAAGAGAAGGCATGTTAGGTTCTCTCCCTATAACAATGTCAGTTATAGGCATTGTTAGGGGCATGGTTTCTCTGTTGCAGTGCCTAACTAACCCTAACATCATTCATCTGAGGATTGGACATCCTGGTTTTGATCTAATGACCTGGCTCTACCCCAAGCATTCAGGCTTTAACTTTAAAAAAAGATATTTCTTTGTCAAAGATACAGTTCCATTATCTAAAAGATAATCATATTTCAGTAGTAAAGTAAGTTGAAGTGCAATCTAGAAAGCTTTAAGCAGCTCTTACCTAATGAACGCCAAATCAAACAAAATAGCAGAGTGAAGCAAACAAAGGCCCAGTTCCATTCATGGTTTTTTCCTACTGTAGATACTCCCATGAAAATAAAGATAAGAGTTTCACTGACACTGCTCAGCATTTTCATGAAATATTTTATAGTAGTATAGGACTTCTGAGAAACATTCTCCTCCACGTATTTATTCATGGTCATAGCACATGCTGTAATCCTGCAGGAAAAAAACTAGTTCAGTTTCTCTGAATTTTTATTACAAATACTGTATTTTTACTGCAAACAGTTGAGTAATGTGCACCTGATGTTACTCCAATAAAATGTCTAGAGTACCGTATTAGTGAGATAGGAGGCAAGAAATCCAATAAAAAAATAAATATGACTCAGAATCATTATAGGAGTTAATGTCACTGAGTTCAGTAAAATTGAGTTTCTTCTTTTTACGTTGCTGAACACATTTCTTGATACCATATAATAAGATCTTGGGAACAGACTTTTATGCAATCAACATAATGCATAGTGTGGACCCCTTTGCAGTCAACACTTCTAACAAAGACTTGTTATTTAATTGTAGAAAATGGAAAGTTGTCATTCTCTTTGGCTTTTGCCACTCTGAAAGGACATTCGATCTCTCTTGACCATATAGGCTAGGTGGCTACTATAATTATTTTCCTCCCTTTGGTTATTCAGCACTATGATATTCAATGTGATTATGATTTCACTTTAAAAATATACCATTTCATGATGTCAGAAAGACTGCAAATAGATATCATGTGTGGGTGCAGTGTTTCCTGTTTTAATCTTGAACTTTAAGATGTGTTCCATGATGTTGTTGCTATCAAATATCTTCCTGGAACAAATGTTTCAGAGATTATACAAACTGGATTTGCTACTGCTTCTGATGAGTTTAATTATTGTTATATATTTTGGTCAAGGTATGTGTTATATTTTTATATAAGGTAAAGTAAGCTGAACTAAGCTGAAGTCACCTTCCAATCACCTTACCATCTGCTGATTGTCAATGCTATAGAAGTAGTCTATTATTCTTAGATGCAAACATGAGTTGCAGTTTTAGGTAATTATTTAAAGCAGCTTAGATAGGAATCTTTACTAAATATACAGGGCATATCTGACCAAGCAGAAAAGCCACAGGAAGTTTTCTACAATAGTTCCCATGCCATTCTATGGTTTCTAATAGCCAGAACATGTTGTGACACAAAAGAGGAAGTAAGAAAGTTCTCCTATGGGGCTGTAATTCCAGTCTTCATTTTACACTTCCCACCTCATCTCTGAAGTGGCCCAGAACTGCAAAGTGACCATTTATCAGATCCACTCATAATGACTGCATCACCAACAAAATGTGAAGACCCACACTAGACAGTTCTAGGAACTTTCATTCAATTTCAGAACTGTATACTCAAAGTTAGTTATAGTGTTCCTTTTACTTTTACTTTTACTTCAGTTGTAAGATTATATGGATATTTTTTTATGACTGGGGTTGTCTGAGTTTGGTTAGTAATAATAGTAGAAATGTGGAATTCATCTCTAAAAGCAGGGATAAAGTGCAAATTATTCTGTTTTGATTGACTGTATTTATAAATTTAAGTTCTGATGATCTGAATGATTACTATTCTCCAGCATGATTGGATGGAGAACCCACGGATGGGTTGTCTTAATCTATCTGCTCCAATTAGACTAAGTCTGAAATTTAGTACCGCCCCCTCTGTGCCAACTGCACCCCAGTTTTAGACTTAGTCTCTTTGCCCCAAGACGCGTTTTGTCTTCGCTCCTGGAGCAGAAGACTGTTTAATTCTATTTAATTACTTAGCTCAGGCTATTATTATTATTTGTTATTTTATTATTGATTCAGAATCGATTATATCTAGAAGAAAGATCAATTATCCCAGTCTGAAGCCTATTCAGGCTGACAGACTCACAATCCTCTCCCTCTAGGGGGGGGGGGAACTTTTCCCTTCTTTGTTTTCCCTCAGTTAGGGACAGCAAGATCAAACCTTTGAATTAGGTCATTTTCAGAGCCTCATCAAGCCTGGAGGGAGCCTTCCCAGGTCCCTCGGCCCCAGCAGAGAGCAGCAGGTGAGAATTTGGGCACGGCCCAATTTTCGGAGCCGGGAGGGCCTGTCAGGCCTTGGACGACAGCTTTTCCAGCCGGCCTAATCACATGCCACCAGCTGCTTTAGGAGCCCAGGCAATTCACCCGAACGAGGGCTCGTTGCAGCTTAGACCCTAGGCCTCAAGGCCTTCTTCCAACGGCCGTTTTTTAGGGCGCGAAATTGGCGGCCGCCATTTTGAATTGCCTCCCGGCGGTCATTTTGGGTGTGGCTGAAGCCCCCGGCGGCCATTTTGTATGTGGTTGAGGCCCTCAGCGGCCATTTTGTGAGTGGCAGAAGTCACTGGCGGCCATTTTGTGGGTGGCTGAAGTCACCGGCGGCCATTTTGTGTGGGGCTGAAGCCTTGGCGGTCATTTGGAGTGTGCCTGAAGTCACTGGCAGCCATTTTGTGGGTGGCTGAAGTCACCGGCGGCCATTTTGTGTGGGGCTGAAGCCTCGGCGGCCATTTTGAGTGTGCCTGAAGTCATCGGCGGCCATTTTGTGTGTGACTGAAGCCCTCGGAGGCCCTTTTGTGCGTGGCAAAAGCCCTTGGTGGCCATTTTGTGTGTGGCTGAGGCCCAGACTGCCTGGAACTTTCTTCTGAAGGCAGTATTACATCATCGGTGGCAGGATCGTCGAGAGAGCAGTTTCGACCGGGGAGGGCCTGATCGATCCTAAGTGATCGGGGTGCCCATTAACTCCCCGCCCACCCCCTCTTGGGCTGAAGTATCTCTGTAGACTCCCTTGGTGAAGTACAGCACCGAGGGGGGGGGCGTTTTGCCAAGGTTGAGACCAGAGCAACTCATCATGGCAGAGAAAGGCAGCGAGCCGGCCAAGAGGAGTCGCCAATCAGAGGCAAGTGGTAAGAGCACCACCAAGCGAGCCCGGCCAAGCAGGGAGCCACAGAGGGAGGAAGGGTGCCAAAGACGGAGAGCGGCCTCCCCAGATCTGACAGGCACGATGGGAAGGTCTATATTTGAGCCCCTTTCTTCGCACAGTGCCTCAGCCCCAGGGGCCTGGTCTCCCCCCAGGGGAATTCCTGAGTCAGATTTAAACCTAACAGTGGCTTCAGGGAGGGGTATAACCGGTCAGGACACCTCAGGGCCCCAGGCCACATTCACTCCCACTGCAGCAGGACTTCGCCCTCCTGAGAACCAGGCCCTGAACCCGAACCTCCTCCAGTCCATGATAGCCCAGGCTGTGGCTCAATTTATGGCCTCCAACACCCCACAGCCACCCCCACAGGCCACACATCATTCACAATCTCCAGATTGGATGGATGATCCCGCATCGGATTTGGAATCTACAGGAGCTGAACAAGCTGGCCTAATTTTGTCTGAGGACGAGGGCATCGCCCCATCCGAACCCACCCCTCCTGTCGGTCTCTTTGACCATTCCTTCTTCAATTCCCTGCTTCTCAAGGCCTGCACCACTGCAAACCTCGCCCAAGAACAGGAGAACCCACCAACATCCCAGGGTCCCCATGCCATATACACTGAGCCCTCTGTCTCACAGAATCATATTCCCTGCCCTCCCCTTTTTCTAAATATAGTCCAGGAACAATGGGAAAAACTAGGATTCCCCCTTAAGCCCTGGTGCGGTAGAGAGAACATTGTTCAATGTTGCTCCTTCCCTGACCTTCCTTTTGGAGATTCCTGAGATTGATGAGCCCTTGAACTCATTGTTTCCCAAGTCCAACATCCCTGGGGACATAAATGAGGCACTAAGGGCAGAGGACAAGAAGATTGAGTCCGCCCTACGCAGGTCCCACCAGGCATCAGCCTGGGCAACGAGGGCGGCAACCTCCATGGCCTTCTTTGCCAGGGCTTCGGTCCTGTGGCTACGGGAGCTCCAGGACATGATCCCTCCGGACCAGCTCAGAGCCCACCAGAATCTGGGTAAGTTGGTGGCCACATCCCAGTATCTAGCCGATGCCTCCTTACACACGATCAGATACACTGCCCGGACCATCGCGGCAGACATTTCAGCACGAAGGCTCCTTTGGCTCAGAAACTGGCGAGCAGACACCAAGGCCAAGTGGCGTCTGGCCTCTAAACCTTATACAGGTGGACAACTCTTTGGTAAGGCGCTAGAGCCATACCTAACCGAAGGTAAGGATAAACGCAAGACCTTGGTTAATACATCAAGGAGGGGAGATAGACGCTGGGGGAACTTGTCGCAGAGTAACTACAGAAGGCAGCCCTTTCGGCCAGCGCCAGCCTGGGACTGGGCCCAGGCTCCTCGCCCCTCCTTTCAGAGACAGGAACGACAACAAGATCGTTCAGCATACAGAGGCAGATCACAGTTCCAGACCAAGCGGTCCTTTCGAGGCGCAGGGAGCCGCTCCTTTAAGCGAGGCAAGTGAACCTGCAGCCTCACCTCCCATAGGAGGCCGGCTGGCCCTCTATTCCAGCATTTGGGCAGCCACTACTACGGACGCATGGGTGTTAGACACCGTCTCCCAAGGTCTGAGACTAGAATTTTGTTCCCATCCACCTGACAGATTCCGCTCTTGTCCTATTTCAACGAACAGGACCAGAGCTGAACTTATGTCAGAGGCAATAGCTCATTTATTGCAAATACAAGCAATTGAACCAGTACCACAAGACCAAGAAGGACGAGGGTTTTACTCAAACCTTTTCGTCATTTCCAAGACTTCAGGGGGCTGGAGGGCGATCTTGGACTTAAAAGGTCTAAACCTCTACTTGAGATATAAAAAATTTAAGATGCAATCACTTCAATCAATCCTGGCTGGCGTCAGGCAAGGTGACTTTCTTACCTCCATAGACCTGACCGAGGCATATTTGCACATCCCAATTTTTCCTGGACACCGCAAATTCCTCAGATTCAGTTATGCCCGACGCCACTACCAGTACAGAGCCTTTCCATTTGGCCTCTCATCTGCACCGAGAGTATTTACAAAGGTACTGGCAGTGATTGCAGCCCACCTTAGACAAATTCCCATCAGAGTTCAATGCTATCTAGATGACATTCTAATTCAGTCATCATCATGGCAAGGTGCCCAAGCAGACCTCGCCCTAGCCATCAAGGTTTTGCAGGAGAACGGTTTTTCTGTGAATTTCCAGAAAAGTCATACTGTACCAACAACTCGGCTCCTCCATTTGGGCGCAATTATAGACACAGGCAACTGCACGGTCTACCTATCTCAGGACTGACGGAACTCTATCCAGACTCTTGTACGTCGGATCCGAAGGGACAGAGTAGTCACATTGGCATCCCTTTCACAACTACTAGGGGAGATGGTGTCCTGCGTGCAAATTGTGCCATGGGCACGTCTCCATGCCAGAGAATTACAGTGGCTTCTCCTTCCATTTCAAAGACTTCATACCAGCACATCCCACCAGAAGGTCCGAGTTCCACGGTCGGTGTTGAACTCCCTTCATTGGTGGGACTCTCCGGCACTGTCACGGGGAGCAGAATTCAAAGAGCCAGACAGGATCACCATCACCACAGACGCAAGCCTATTTGGGTGGGGGGCACACCTCCACACACACTGGGCCCAAGGTCAGTGGTCCAGGCAAGATCTAAAGAACAATATAAACTGGCTGGAACTAAGAGCCATACACATGGCCCTAAAGAGATTCAGCAGCTTAGTACAGGGCCAGCACGTCCTGGTCTTAACCGACAACATCACAGCCAAGGCCCATATCAACAGACAGGGGGGAACAAGGTCCAAGCCTCTCATGCAGGAGGCCAGATTGCTGGGGTCTTGGGTGGAACTGAATCTTGCCTCCATCAGGGCGGAGCACATATCAGGAGTGGCCAACCAGCAGGCGGACTCATTGAGCAGAGCCACCGTGGACCATTCCAAATGGCAGCTGGATCCGAAGATCTTCAGAGAGATCGTGGACAGGTTTGGTTCCCCAACCCTAGATCTGTTTGCCTCCCCAGCCAACTCACAGCTTCCCAGATTCCTTTCCAGGTTCCCGTCTCCATCAGCGGAAGGAACAGATGCACTCCGCAGTCCCTGGCCCAGGGAACTGCTCTATGCCTTTCCTCCCCTGCCCCTTCTACCTGCCACGATCAGGAAGATCCTTCGCGAACAAGCAGAGGTCCTCCTGGTCGCCCCGCATTGGCCGAGGCGATCTTGGTTCGCCGACCTGATGGAGCTCTCCGCATCCCCTCCATGGAGGATTCCAGCCAATCGGATCTCCCTCATTCAGGGGGAGTTACATCAATGGGTCCAGTTAACCGTCTGGCACTTGAGAGGCAGGCCTTAGGCCTAGACTCATATTCGTCAAGGGTCCAGCAATCCAGGCGACCCTCGACGAATAGAATATACGATGCCACGTGGAAGAGCTTCTGTAATTGGTGTTTAGCTCACAAAATTGAACCCTTACAGGCTGCAGTGCCAATTATCTTGGAGTTCCTGATGGACGGTTTGGACAAAGGGCTTTCCACAAGCGCCATCCGTAGGCAGGTAGCAGCACTCGCCACGGTTATTTCCTGTGGCAAGGAACCCTTAACACAGCACCCTATGATACGCTCCTTCCTAAAAGGAGCTAACAATGCCAGACCACCAGCGGTACATAGATATCCCTCCTGGAACCTTCATCAGGTTTTACAGGCTCTTGTCTCACCACCCTTTGAGCCAATTGACACTTGTTTGCTCAAACTATTATCAATGAAGGTGGCATTTCTGGTTGCTGTAACTTCAGCCAGAAGAATCTCTGAGCTGGCTGCCCTGTCAGTGAGAAAGGACCTGTGTATCTTCCATAGGGACAGGGTTACTCTCAGGTTAGATCCCTCTTTCGTGCCCAAGGTCAACTCCTTGTATCATAGATCACAGGACATAGTTTTGCCGGATTTCTGTCCGAACCCATCTAATGACATAGAGGCTCAGTGGAACAGATTGGATGTTCGCAGGGCCTTATATTGCTATATACAGAGAACCTCATCCTTCCGCAAGACTGAGGCTCTGTTTGTGTCATTTCACCCTTCGTCGTTAGGACAGAAGGTTTCCTCACCCACTATAGGCAGGTGGATTAGAGCTTGTATTTCTCTGGCATACCAGACTCAGTCACTACAAGCTCCCAGCCATATCACGGCCCATTCCACCAGGGGCGCAGCCACTACAGCAGCCTGGTCTACCCAGGCATCCATAGAGGAAGTTTGTAGGGCAGCAACATGGGCATCGCCCTCCTCCTTTGTCCGTCACTACAAGATGGATATATATGCATCTTCTACGGCTTCATTTGGCCGCAAGGTCCTAGAACACGCATTAACATTGGGTGGGAACCAGGCCCAATCTAATTCCCCACCCTAGGGACACAGGGCTTTGGTATGTCCCATCCGTGGGTTCTCCATCCAATCATGCTGGAGAAAGAGGCGTTGTCTTACCTGAACGCCTTTTCTCAGCATGATGATGGAGAATCCACTCCCTCCCATTAGGTCAGTTGGCCTGGTCCCCATTTGTTCAGACGCGTTGGACTAAAGTCTGGGTATCGCCTTAGCCTAAAACTGGGGTGCAGTTGGCACAGAGGGGGAGGTACTAAATTTCAGACTTAGTCTAATTGGAGCAGATAGATTAAGACAACCCATCCGTGGATTCTCCATCATCATGCTGAGAAAAGGCGTTCAGGTAAGACAACGCCCCTTTCTCACATACAAGATATTACATGTGGTTTGATTTGTATTTTGTTTGTATGTCTTGTCAAAGAAAGATTAATCAGAAATCCTTCAGTATATTGATTTCAGTTTATTTAAATATTCCTAGGTAATCACTTCCATTTATATAAAACCATTTAGATAGACTGGGCACACCTACCAGTAATGAAAATCAGCCTGTACAAACATGGCAGTTTCTGTCCAGTGAATGGAAAAATCTAGATCATAAGTGATACTCTTTTAGCTTTTTCGCAATTCATTCTTTAGTTTCCTGGCTCCCCTTCCATATTTTGTGATATACAGTACAGGAGTTATGCAAATCTATTGAAAATACTTTATGAAAAAAGAAACTTAACTCCAATATTCTATTACATTCTTTTTTATTACAATGTATATATAAATCTATTAGATTAGAAAATAATTTAGCTCAGTCCATTAAATGCTTAGTGTCAGGCCCCAAAGTAATATATCCTTAATTAGTTTAGCTTTGTATCTTTCTTTGTTGCCTGCCAATCTGTTGGGAGGGGAGAGCCTTTGGGGATGCTTTGCACTGTGTGCTTTGTTGCCTTGTTGCCTGCCCCCCAGGGGATGGAATGTCTCACCTTTATCTGAGAGACGGTTTGTGCTTAGAGCCAGAAGAAATTGAAAGTGAGAGAAATCTTGAAAAAACACAATGCCACTGTGGATTGGATGGGATTCAAATGAACATTGGGACACTGGGGGGGGGGAGTATTGAATGCTTTTTAATATATCGCTTCATGGGTTTTTCTCTCAGATCTAGCCTTGATTCCCTGCTGTCACTAGCCCCTAATAAAAATTTCCTTTTGAGACAATTCTTGTTTCAAGAGCTCTGCTTTCTTAGGTGCTTAGCTGAGGTAGATCCTTACACTTAGCCATAATATAAATTGATTCTGGCTTAGCTAGAAATGGAAATCCAGCTATAGTGGCTTAGCACTATGTGTGATTGAGCCATTGCAGCTTATTTAAGAAATCATAGTTAAAATAATGTAGCCTAATTTGATAACAATTGATCGATACCTATTTTCTACATATTATATTAAAAGACATTCTATTCTCAACAAAAACTGCACTAAAAAAGCAATGGGATTTTATAAGAGGCATTCATGAATGTTCCATAATAATAGTACCTATGATAGTCTTCACAACACAGTAAATAATCTTGAGGCATTTTAAAGATTAATTGATGAATCATATTTATGAACGCTGAAATTAATAGAATTAGAGGAGAATTGAAAACCACAGAAATGTTGTTAATGAGAATAAGGTATAGATGGTGTTCTTAAAAGTTAGGTAAATTAATATAGTATTTTATATTTAACAAAATGCTCAATGAAATAAATTTCCATTTTTACAGTTTAAGCAATGAAATCTAATAGTTCATTCACATTTTTCTACATTAAAATATTGGAAATAATTAATTAGCTATGTGAAAACATTGTTTTTAGTAATGCATTATATCACTAAAATATTCAAAGTAGATTTTTAAAAATTGGAATATGGCATAAAAGGCAATACAACATATTTTACATTATACGAGAGGGAAACATTCATTTTGCTAAATATATGAATATATCAATCCCTGTGATGAAATAAAATAATTATAAGATGTTGTTTTTTAATTTGTTATTTATTCAACAATGTTTGAGATATATAGATTTTCAACAAATATCTTAAAATAATTTAAAGATGAGAAAGGAATTGATGACTGAAGCTTACTAGTTTGATTAAGGCTATCTTATAAAGTGTGCAGTAGAAAGAAGCTTTAAAATAGAAATCACTTTTGCACATCTTAAACTTTTACCCATTTATAGCATTGTTCCTGAATATACTGTAGACAATGGAATTGAAAAATTTTCTTAAATCGTTTACTCTTTTAAAATTAGACTGCAAATTCTCAAAGGTAAAAAACAGATATATAATTTAGCTGCAACAAGCCTATAACTTGAAAAACAAACAAATCCAGTTTACTTAATATCTTCTGCTACATTGTTGCCTATCAACATAGAAGATCCTTCAATAATTGAGAAGAAATGTTTAGACATATCAATATTGACATCACACATTTTCGTGTGTGTAAGACAGAAAGAGATATGAAATGATTCCAAGATTGCACTAATAAAGATTAATAATCAGAACTAGTAGCTTCAGGAAAACAATTACAGTAATATAATTTCACAGCCTAAACTGGCTGAGTATATTAGACTGCTAGTTAAAACAGCTTGTCACAAAACCAAACAAATCATAATTTGAAAAAAACTGAGCACTAAACATTTGCATGTTTACCATAATGGATACCGGACTTGTTAAATATTATTGCTTCTGAATTTGGAAACTAGATCCTTTAAAAAAAATGAACATAAATTACTATTAATAATGCATGCAAGATATTCTTAGCCAAAGTTTGTTGTTGGCTTGTTTTTTATATACTTACGCCATAATCCCTGAAAGGTGAAACATTTCAGCTGTTATGTACGAGAGGTAACTGTATAAGAAGACAAACAGTGGCTCAATCACTCGAATTTTATGGGTGAAACGAGTAGTAAAAGCTGCTACAAATCCAAGAATGATTCCAATCAAAACTCCACCGATGCCAACTACAAAAAAATTAGCAATTCCAGCAAATATGTCAATGGCCTCAATTGTACGCATCTGGCAAAAAGATTTGAACAAGTTGTACAGGACCTATGAAGGGAAAAGTTTAACTTTTTAGATTCCTTTCCAAATAATGTTACAGTTATTTTTACTGGAAATGTAAATTACATTCTGTTGCTACTAAATAATCTCAGAAAGTAGAACAAATAAAAAAAATAGGAATACATGATAAAAGAGCCAATTTTCTTTAAAAAATACATCTTTTTTAATTTTTCCCCTTAGGGAAAAAATATCTGTTCAGTTATTTAGTCCTGTATGTCACAATGAGGAGCCTCAGTCCTTAATCTAATGTGAATTTCAAAAAATCTTTATAATCGAGTCAACTCTCTGAAGAAAAAATAGCAGTCTCTTACCTGTCAGCCTTGGGGGGGATGGGGAAGAGATAAGAAAAAGAAGAAAAGTATGTCAGGGAGGAAATGAAGTGTCAGAAAGAAAGACAGCAGGTGATTTCATCCATTGGTATTTGTAAGACTGATCAGTAACTAAAAGGTGATTCAGCAGCTACCACAGAAAAGGATCAGCTGTATTAGCAGAAGTGCTACATTCATGCCTCCATGTGTTCCAACACTTTTTTTAAACAAAACCCAAAACTCTGCATAGTTTAGTATTCATAATGCACAAAGAGCAAAGACAAACATTTGTCTGTATCTACTGTACAGACTAAATACATTTAAAAACATTCATTTAAACTAGGCAAGCAGGAGCTAAAGTTACATTCATAGCAGCCAGATGACAGGGATATATTGTTTTCATCTACAATGTATTACGTAATCACCCTGGACTAGCAAAAAGCCTTTATCTTCTTGTGGACCAGAATCCAATAGTTCTCAAAAAGATCAGTCATCTTGGTGGTAAAGAATAAGTGCTTGCTGTCATCTCTCCTATGCAATAGGCTTTAAACCATGTTCTAGTCCAGGGGTCAGCAACCTTAAAGAGCCATTTGGACCCGTTTCCCAGAGAAAAAAAAACATTGCACGCGCGCGAGGGGGGGAGCTTGATTGAAGAGTTCAATTAAAAAGAAATAGAGGCTGCTGTGCATGAGTTCTCTCTCTCTCTCTCTCTCTCTCTCTCTCTCTCTCTCTCCCTCCCTCCCTCCCTCCCTCCCTCTCTCTCTCTCTTTCCCTCCCTCCCTCTCTCTCCCTCTCTTTGTCTCCCTCCCTCTCTCCCCCCCCTCCCTTTCTCCGATCGTCTGCTCACCTGGCAAGCTGGCTTCACGCTGTTCTCCAACAAGCTGAAACAATTCTTATTGGGCTGGCACTCTCCTGTCCTTGGTCTGCCAGTCCTCTTCCCCCACTCAGTGTGTGTGTGTGTGTGTGTGTGTGTGTGTGTGTGTGTGAGAGAGAGAGAGAGAGAGAGAGAGAGAGAGAGAGAGAGAGAGAGAGAGAGAGAGAGAGAGAAGCACAAGTGCCTCTCTCTGTCTCTGTCTCTCTCTCTGCAAATGGTGAAGGAGGCTGGGAGCTGCAGGAGAAAGCTCAAAGAGCCACATGCGGCTCCGGAGCCACAGGTTACTGACCCGTGTTCTAGTTCATATCTGATCAAATCCATTCAGATTCTTCTGCCAACATTGCTTTATTTGTCTCATTTCATTTTCTCATTGCTCCTTTAGTCAAACAAGCATTCCTTTCTACTCTTAGAGGAACAGTCCTATTGACTTACTAGGTCATTTCTTAATTTCCAAGGTTAGCAAACACTTTGAAAGAATTACTTGTCAAAGTGATGATGAAATGCTTTCACATAACTATTTAAATTCATCAGCTTTCAAAACTGGATAAACTTTTCTTAATTTTCTAAAACTATATTGCATGGCAGTTTATAAGACTACAACAAAACATACAGCAAAACTGAAAAAGGATGAAACAAAAATGCAATAACTATTCAGTAGACAAAATTATGATAGCCCAATACTGATCTTTGACTGCAATAAATTGAAATTCAGTTGAACTGAATTGAATTGATACCCCATTCAAAATAAGCAAGTGTGGGAGTTTTCTTAAAAAAATTCTAGCTGAACTAATTAGGACTTTAAAAGTAATAACCAAGACTTTAATTCAGCGCTTCTCAACCTGTGGATTGTGACCCCTTTTGGGATCGAACAACCGTTTCACAGGGGTCACCTAAGACCATCGGAAAACACATATTTCTGATGGTCTTAGGAACCAAGACACCGCTCCACATCCATCTCCGCATGGCCTCCTCCATCATTTGCAGAGAGAGAGAGAGGGAGGCACTTTCGCTTCCCTTCTCTCTCTCTCTCTCAGGTGGACTTACCTCCTGCAGGGCTCCTGATTGGTCCTGTGCCCGGGTGCCCCACCCCCTGGGAGAAGTGCAGCCAGGGCCTCGTGGAGCCGCCTGGGAAAGCCCCGGGATCCCTATTGGGAACGGCCCGCTGGAGGCTCCGCTGAGCATGCCAGCCCTCCCGCAAGCCATGGCCCAAGGGAGACCAGCCCCTGTGATCCCCAGCCAGCCCGACCATTGGCCCTGCTGGCCAGGAAGACGCGCCAGAGTCCAGACTGCAGGAAAGGAAGAAGGAGATTCAGCAAAGGTAGGAGAGGAGAGCCACCTCCTGGGGCCCAGCGCTGGTGGCGGCTTGCTTGCCATCCTCTTCCTCATCCCCTTCTTCCTCCTACTGCCCCCAAGGCAGCTCAGGCGGGTGCCGGGGCAAGAGGGGTGCCTGGGGGGAGCAGCCAGGCTGGACAAGGGGCTGGCAGGCTACACGGCACCAGCCCCCACTGTGGCTCCATTGGATGGGCAGAGGGCGAGGCCAGGCAGTGCGGGGGCAGCGGCAGCAGTTTTCTTGCCCTTCTCCTCTCCTTCTTCCTCTAGCTGCCCCCAAGACAACTTGGGCGGGTGCCGGGAGGAAGAGGGGTGCCTGGCAGCAGGCTGGCAGAGGGGCTGGTGGGCCGTGCGGTACCAGCCCCCACCACGGCTCCATTGATGCATGGAGACCCAGGCTGGGCAGCATGGGGATGGCGGGGACCCCCAATGATGCAGCAGTGGCTGCCGCTACCGCTGTTCCCACCGCCCCCGCGCTGCCTGAACTGGTCCTCCATGCATCAATGGAGCAGTGGTGGGGGCTGGTGCCGCACGTCCCGCCAGCCCCTCCGCCAGCCCACTGCTTCCCCCCCAGGCACCCCTCATCCTCCTGGCTCCTGCCTGAGCTGCTTTGGGGGCAGCAGAAGGAAGGAGAGGAGAAGGGTGATAAAACCACTGCCGCTGCTGCCGGCTGAGCTGAACTGCGGCGCCAAGCCGTCTCCATGCCTCCTGGTTGCCCAGCCGCGCTCCACCCCGGCCACCCTCCGCACCACACAGGAGTCTCCCCAGTGCCGCCCAGCCCACCTCCCTTGCCATCGAAGGCCGCCTCGGCCCTCTGGCGCCCACCGCCCCCGCGCTGCCTGAACTGGTCCTCCATGCATCAATGGAGCCGTGGTGGGGGCTGGTGCCAGACGTCCCACCAGCCCCTCCGCCAGCCCACTGCTCCCCCCCAGACACCCCTCATCCTCCTGGCTCCTGCCCGAGCTGCTTTGGGGGCAGCAGAAGGAAGGAGAGGAGAAGGGCAATAAAACCACTGCCGCTGCTGCCGGCTGAGCTGAACTGCGGCGCCAAGCCGTCTCCATGCCTCTGGTTACCCAGCCCCGCTCTGCCCCAGCCACCCTCCGCACCACACAGGAGTCCCCCCAGCACCGCCCTGCCCACCTCCCTCACCGTCGAAGGCCGCCTCGGCCCTCTGGCGCCCAACACGGCCATGGGGCTGCTGGGCAGGAGCGGCTCCTTCCTGGCTTGCTGGGCTCCGGGCCTCGGAAGCGGCCAGGGGGCGGGGAAGAGGGTGAGGCAGCGGCAATGCCCGCATGTGAGTCAGAGGCCAGCTGGCCGGGCCGGCAATGGGGCCCCAAAATCAAAGGAGAAAACTCGTTTCAGAGCTGTAAGAAAGGCTCCCTCTCCCCTATCCCGATCCCCACCACAAGCAGCGCCAGAGTTTGGAAAGGTGCTGCTCCGGGACCCTTGGCTATGGGAGCAGGCCGGCAGTGGCTCTGCTCAGATATGGGGGGAAGAAAAAACAGCCAGAAGGGAAATCATTTGAGCAGACTCCGCTTTGGATAAAGCTTTGTGGCTCGAAGCATTTTGTTTGGAAACGTTGGCACCAGTTTTAATCCGGGCGTTTGTGCTTTCTTACCCCTGCACGCGCGTGCCTGTGCGTTTTCCCCAGTGGTAGCCAAAAAGGGAGGGGAAGGGGCAATGGGAAGCATCCTTTGATACATCATTTATACTCCCGCCTCCCCAATCAGGCTTATTTGGAAATCGGTCCGACAGACCTGCCTTCCTCAATCAGCCACCGGGGGTTAAAATATCTTTCCCCATCGAGCGTTATAAAGCACCTTTTCCTTCCTTCCTTCCTTCCTTCCTTCCTTCCTTCCTTCCTTCCTTCCTTCCTTCCTTTCTTCCATCTCCTTCCCTTCCCCTTCAATCTCTCCTTCCTTCCTTTCTTCCTTCCTAACTCCTTCAATCTCCTTCCTTCTCCATCTCCTTCCTTTCCCCTTCAATCTTCCTTCCTTCCTTCCTTCCTTCCTTCTTTTCTTCCTTCTTTCCTTCCTTCCTTCCTTCAATTTCCTTCCTTTCCCCTTCAATCTCCTTCCTTCTCCATCTCCTTCCCTTCCCTTCCTTCCTTCCTTCCTTCCTTCCCCCTTCAATCTCCTTCCTTCTCCATCTCCTTCCTTTCCTCTTCAATCTTCCTTCCTTCCTTCCATCTCCATCCCTTCCTCTTCAATCTCTTTCTCCTTCCTTCTTTCCTTCCTTCCTTTCTTTCCCCTTCAATCTCCTTCCTTCTCCATCTCCTTCCTTTCCCTTTCAGTCTTCCTTCCTTCCATCTCCATCCCTTCCCCTTCAATCTCTTTCTCCTTCCTTCCTTCCTTCTTTTCCCTTCAATCTCCTTCCTTCTACATCTCCTTCCTTTCCCCTTCAATCTTCCTTCCTTCCCCTTCCCTCCCTCCCAACATTTTTGAGCAAGGAAGAGTAAGCTTCTCCAGCGAGCATTG